CCCTCATAGAGACCTGTCAGCTACAGAGACCTCCATTCACCCTCATAGAGATCTGTCAGGTACAGAGACCTCCACTCACTCACATAGAGATCTGTGAGTTATAGAGACCTCCACTCACTCTCATAGAGACCTGTGAGCTAAAGAGACCTCCATTCACTCACATAGAGACATGTGAGCTACAGAGACCTTCACTCACTATCATAGAGACCTGTGAGTTACAGATACCTCTACTCACTTTTATAGAGATTTGTGAGCTAAATTGACCTCCACTCACTCTCATAGAGACCTGTCAGCTACAGAGACCTCCACTCACTCTCATAGAGATCTGTGAGCTACAGAGACCTCCACTCACTCTCATAGAGACCTGTGAGCTACAGAGACCACCACTCACTCTCACAGAGATCTGTGAGCTATAGAGACCTCCACTCACTCTCATAGAGATCTGTGAGCTACAGAGACCTCCACTCACTCTCATAAAGACCTGTGAGTTACAGAGACCTCCACTCACTCTCATAGAGACCTGTCAGCTACAGAGACCACCACTCACTCTCACAGAGATCTGTGAGCTACAGAGACCTCTACTCACTATCATAGATACCTGTGAGTTACAGAGACCTCCACTCACTATCATAGAGATCTGTGAGATACAGAGACCACCACTCACTCTCATTGAGATCTGTGAGTTACAGAGATCTCCACTCACTCTCATAGAGACCTGTGAGCTACAGAGACCTCCACTCACTCTCATAAAGACCTGTGAGCTAGAGAGACCTCCACTCACTCTCATAGAGACCTGTGAGTTACAGAGACCTCCACTCACTCTCATAGAGATCTGTGAGTTACAGAGACCTCCACTCACTCTCATAGCGATCTGTGAGCTACAGAGACCTCCACTCACCCTCATAGAGACCTGTGAGTTACAGATACCTCCACTCACTCGCATAGAGATCTGTGAGCTAAAGAGACCTCCACTCACTCTCATAGAGATCTGTGAGCTACAGAAACCACCACTCACTCTCACAGAGATCTGTCAGCTACAGAGACCTCCACTCACCCTCATAGAGATCTGTCAGCTACAGAGACCTCCACTCACTCACATAGAGACCTATTAACTACAGAGACCTCCACTCACTCTCATAGAGATATGTGGGCTACAGAGACCTCCACTCACTCTCATAGGGACCTGTGAGCTAGAGAGACCTCCACTCACTCTCATAGAGATCTTGCGAGTTACAGAGACCTCAATTCACTCTCATAGAGACCTGTGAGTTACAAAGACCTCCACTCACTCTCATAGAGACCTGTGAGCTACAGAGAACTCCACTCACTCTCATAGAGACCTGTGAGCTAGAGACCTCCACGCACTCTCATAGAGACCTGTCAGCTACAGAGACCTCCACTCACTCTCATAGAGACCTGTGAGCTACAGAGACCGCCACTCACGCTCATGGAGACCTGCGAGCTACAGAGTCCTCCATTCACTCTCATAGAGACCTGTGAGCTACAGAGACCTCCACTCACTCTCATAGAGACCTGTGAGCTACAGAGACCACCACTCACTCTCACAGAGATCTGTGAGCTATATAGACCTCCACTCACTCTCATAGAGATCTGTGAGCTACAGAGACCTCCACTCACTCTCATAAAGACCTGTGAGTTACAGAGACCTCCACTCACTCTCATAGAGACCTGTCAGCTACAGAGACCACCACTCACTCTCACAGAGATCTGTCAGCTACAGAGACCTCCACTCACTCACATAGAGACCTATGAACTACAGAGACCTCCACTCATTCTCACAGAGACCTATGAGCTAGAGACCTCTACTCACTCTCATAGAGCTATGTGGGCTACAGAGACCTCCACTCACTCTCATAGAGACCTGTGAGCTACAGAGAACTCCACTCACTCTCATAGAGATCCGTGAGCTACAGAGACGTCCACTCACTCTCATAGAGACCTATGAGCTACAGAGAACTCCACTCACTCTCATAGAGATCTGTGACCTACAGATACCTCCACTCACTCTCATAGAAACCTGTGAGCTACAGAGACCTCCACTCACTCTCATAGAGACCTGTCAGCTACAGAGACCTCCACTCACTCTTATAGAGACCTGTGAGTTACAGAGACCTCCACTCACTCTCATAGAGATATGTGAGCTACAAAGACCACCACTCACACTCACAGAGATCTGTCAGCTACAGAGACCTCCACTCACCCTCATAGAGATCTGTCAGCTACAGAGACCTCCACTCACTATCATAGAGATCTGTGAGTTACAGAGACCTCCACTCACTTTCATAGAGATCTGTGAGCTACAGAGACCTCCACTCACTCTCACAGAGACCTGTGAGCTAGAGACCTCCACTCACCCTCATAGAGATATGTGAGCTACAGAGACCTCCACTCACCCTCATAGAGACCTGTCAGCTACAGAGACCTCCATTCACCCTCATAGAGATCTGTCAGGTACAGAGACCTCCACTCACTCACATAGAGATCTGTGAGTTATAGAGACCTCCACTCACTCTCATAGAGACCTGTGAGCTAAAGAGACCTCCATTCACTCACATAGAGACATGTGAGCTACAGAGACCTTCACTCACTATCATAGAGACCTGTGAGTTACAGATACCTCTACTCACTCTCATAGAGATTTGTGAGCTAAATTGACCTCCACTCACTCTCATAGAGACCTGTCAGCTACAGAGACCTCCACTCACTCTCATAGAGATCTGTGAGCTACAGAGACCTCCACTCACTCTCACAGAGACCTGTGAGCTAGAGACCTCTACTCACTCTCACAGAGACTTGTGAGCTAGAGACCTCTACTCACTCTCATAGAGATATGTAGGCTACAGAGACCTCCACTCACTATCATAGAGATCTGTGAGCTACAGAGACCTCCACTCACTCTCTATAGAAACCTGTGAGCTACAAAGACCTCCACTCACTCTCATAGAGACCTGTGAGTTACAGATACCTCCACTCACTCTCATAGAGATCTGTGAGCAACAGAGACCTCCACTCACTCTCATAGAGATCTGTGAGCTACAGAGACCACCACTGACTCTCACAGAGATCTGTCAGCTACAGAAACCTCCACTCACTCACATAGATACCTATGAACTACAAAGACCCCCACTCACTCTCATCGAGATCTGTGAGCTACAGAGACCTCCACTCACTCTCACAGAGACCTGTGAGCTAGAGACCTCTACTTACTCTCATAGAGATATGTGGGCTACAGAGACCTCCACTCACTATCATAGAGAGCTGTGAGCTACAGAGACCTCCACTCAATCTCTATAGAAACCTGTGAGCTACAGAGACCTCCACTCACTCTCATAGAGACCTGTGAGTTACAGAGACCACTCTCATAGAAACCTGTGGGCTACAGAGACCTCCACTCACTCTCATAGAGACCTGTGAGTTACAGAGACCACTCTCATAGAAACCTGTGGGCTACAGAGACCCCCACTCACTCTCATAGAAACCTGAGCTACAGAGAACTCCACTCACACCTGTTAATTAAAGAGACATCCATTGATGGTGATGACGAGTCTATCCATTGCACAGCAACGTGTCACAGCTTGTACGTGCGCAACCGTTTTGTCACTCTACTGCTGGATGAGCGCCTCATCATGCCGTGCGGGTCGTGGTGGGTTAGTGGGCCATACTTCACCACGCCGATCAGTGCGGCTTGATGATGGCGGGGGAAATGGTGGGAGCATAGAGGTGCAGTACAGCGGCGCGCCGCACTGCGCTCCGTTGCCCGCAGAGCCGCAGCCGCCCGTAACACCGGTCATGCGTGACCATCACCCATCCAGGCAACGTTGTGGCGCGAAGGGAGAGCTGCCCCTCAGCCCCACCCCCTCCCCTCCCTAAGGCTGCTCGTAGGAGACGAATGCCATCGCACGCGCGATTTTTGACAACTGTGGTTGAACTTCCACACCGTGTCCTGGGGTTGAACTCCCACGCCGTGGACTGGGGTTGAACTCCCACGCCGTGGACTGGGGTTGAACTTCCACACCGTGGACTGGGGTTGAACTTCCACACCGTGGACTGGGGTTGAACTCCCACGCCGTGGACTGGGGTTGAACTTCCACACCGTGGACTGGGGTTGAACTTCCACACCGTGGACTGGGGTTGAACTTCCACGCCGTGGACTGGGGTTGAACTTCCACGCCGTGGACTGGGGTTGAACTTCCACGCCGTGGACTGGGGTTGAACTTACACACCGTGGACTGGGGTTGAACTCCCACGCCGTGGACTGGGGTTGAACTTCCACGCCGTGGACTGGGGTTGAACTTCCACGCCGTGGACTGGGGTTGAACTTCCACGCCGTGGACTGGGGTTGAACTCCCACGCCGTGGACTGGGGTAGAACTTCCACACCGTGGGCTGGGGTTGAACTTCCACACCGTGGACTGGGGTTGAACTTTCACGCCGTGGACTGGGGTTGAACTCCCACGCCGTGGACTGGGGTTGAACTTCCACACTTCCGACTGGGGTTGAACTTCCACACCGTGGACTGGGGTTGAACTTCCACGCCGTGGACTGGGGTTGAACTTCCACACCGTGGACTGGGGTTGAACTTCCACGCCGTGGACTGGGATTGAACTTCCACACCGTGGACTGGGGTTGAACTTCCACACTTCCAACTGGGGTTGAACTTCCACGCCGTGGTCTGGGGTTGAACTTCCACGCCGCCGACTGGGGTTGAACTTCCACGCCGTGGACTGGGGTTGAGGCCTTTTCGGCGTCAACCCGCTCGCCCGGACGTGGACAACAGCAGCCGCGGGAGATTGCGATCAGTTGCGCGATGAATCGAGGCCTCGTTTGGCCGACCAGCGCAACCAGTCGCTCACACGTGGGCCCGACTCGCCAACGTGAAATGAATCGTTCGTCGTTTGTGCAATTAATGATTTGACGTATCGATCGAACAATGTAGTCATCGCCTAATTATCCGACGCATCTTCTCGTCCCCCTCTGCAGGGCTCGAGGCCGCATTCATCAAGAAGCCTCTCCTGGCGGCAATTGCTCCGTGTTGCGACGGACAGCAGCAACAGCAGCAACAGCAGCATCAGCAACAACAACAACAGCAGCAGGCGGCCACGCAAGGCGACGCAGCCGGTCGCTATCCCTCCACGCCGGCTCGTCGCCGTCACCGCACCACCTTCTCGGCCGAGCAGTTGGAGAAGTTGGAGAGCGCGTTCGGGAGGAACCACTACCCGGACATTTACCACCGGGAGGAGCTCGCTAAGGACACGAAACTCAACGAGGCGCGCATCCAGGTGACGACGTGATTATAGGTGTGCGGTTCAGCACAAACGAACACATTTTTTTTTAATTCGCGGAATAAAAAAAATATCGCCGCGTCGGAAGGAGGAGTAGAGGGGTTTGAATCTTGATTTGAAGCTTTCGTGAGTGCAGGAATCCATACTCTTTGGTTCTTTCGGTCAAGTCACGTAGGTATACATTTTTATTTTATTTTATACCTACGTGACTTTACCGAAAGAACCAAAGAGTAGGGTTTTGTTGTTGTTGACAGGTGAGGTTGCCAAAGGTGCTAACCACCGCGCCACCGCTCCCCATAATTATAGTCACGTGACGCGCACAAAAAAACATACGCACACGGCATGCACGCGTTCACGTTCATGCCCTGTAATGCAACAAAACAAAGACAAATATCTCCGGTATAGCCTTGAGATACTTTTGGGGCAAGTGCTGTTAGCGAGCACTATGAAGGCCCGCACGGCACACGAGCGGGTGGGTGGCCAGCACCACGCCCGGCCGCCTTTCTCTCCCCAGTGGCGATGTTTACACACCGCACCAAGCCACTCATTTGAGGCCGAGTCGATCCAAGGGAGGTTCAGATAATCGTCACCAGTGTTGGCCGTGAGCGGCAATCGAACCCGGGGCGCCGGGTTCGTAGCGCAGCGCGCTAACCGCTACATAACACAAAGACAAACACACACAGACACTGGCGCACACACTACTAGCTACAGTCATATGTGTACACGTGTGTCGGCTAGAGAAGAGATGGGCTGATGCGGTACAGAAAGATGTGGTGCTGAGCGTACTTGCTGATAACCGGTACCAGCGATGTTATTATTGTTGTTGTTGTTTCCAGGTGTGGTTCCAAAACCGCCGAGCGAAGTTTCGCAAGCAGGAGCGCGCCATTAATAAAATCCTCCCTCCCTGTGCTGGGGTTGTTCCAACAATCTACCCACACCCGCACCACCATCACCACGCACACCACCACCACCCCCCACACCACCACCAACAACAGCACCACCAACATCACCCCCACAACCACCAACAGCAGCAGCAGCAGCAACAACCACACCACCTCCTTCATCCGCACCATGCTCACCACCACCACCACCACCTGTACGCACCTCCTCTCTCCACCACCCCCACCACCACCACTACGGCCACAACACACACTTTACAGCGATACAACCACGGCTTCAGCACCCACGCCGTGGCCTCCAACCCGGGAGCTCAGGTTTCATTCCACGCCAGGGTGTCGGGAGGGCAAGAGTGGTACAGGGGAGGGCATGGCCTTCTGTCCATGCATCACACGGCTCTGCAACAGCAACCCCAACAGCAGCAGCAGCAGCAATCGCGCGCGGTGGATGCTGTAGCCACGATTTGGCCGTAGGCAGGGCTGGCCAGGTGTTGTAGGTTCGGGGGAGTTGGGGGAGGGGGCTTTCTGCAAGGTGTGGCCAGTAGTTGTTGAGTCCGGTGACCGAGTGGGGGGGGGGGGGGGGGGGGAGAGACGTGAGACCGGGGGTGGTGGGGAGACCATCAGGGCTAGGGGTTGTCGCCAGTATGGGAAAGGGCTGCTTTGTTGTCACACCGGTGGCAACAGGAGGAGATTTGTGCCCATATTGCTGTGCTCAACTCCATTGCAGTCTTCTTCTTCTTTCGCATGGAGAAATAGTGGGCAGATGAAAAATTAAATTGTAGGTGTTGTTATCCACTCAATTGCCTGTTCAGCAGCGGATTGGGTGGAGGGATCTCGTCCGTTCCTCCTTTAGAGGAGCGAAAGCAGCGGCGCCGGTGGTGCGTCTACAATGTGGTCCGATGGTTTGGGATTTTGTGGCCGCACACTCGCAGTGCTGCCGAATCTTTGATGGCGCACTTTGTGGCATCGGGTTGCCGCGCCGGCCACGTGGGCCCCTGTTCCTGATTGGGTCGATGGTCGACGATTGGAAGGTTGGAAAACCGAGGGGGAGCTTCGATGGTAGGCTCCTGTGTGAGACGTTGGCCGCAGTCCAGACTTTCGCTTCCATCTCTCGCCTCCGTTTGTATTCGTGGCGTGGACTGAGGGTTGCTGCTGCTGCGGTGATCCAGAAGGGGGCGGCGTCGATTGTAGGCGAAGAGGCGGCGCAGTGAAGTTGCGCGGTTCTGATGATGGACCTCGCGCTGATCGAGAGGTGTGGCCCGGGTTTGGTCCACTGGGAAAGGTGGCATCTCAGCCACCAACTCACCCACTCGTTCATTCGTCTGACAAGTCACTCAGTAATTCAACCCACTCAGTTTAACAGGTAGGCTTTCGTGACCAATATTAACCACACAGGCAATGGCAATTCTGACGAATCGCCTGGTTAAGCTGGTTGTAATCACCAGCGAAATGTCGTACTCAAATTGCAATTATTGTGGGTTTACTCTCCAACACACCCACTCATCCACTCACTGGGGTTTCCACCTGTGCGATTTTGAACCGCGCAGTTTGGGGATTTGTACCTGTGACCGATAAATAAGTCTCGTCTGCGGGAAAGGTGGCAGTCCTGGTCAGGGCAATATGTTGGGAGGTCGCCTCTCAGCTGAGCAGCAGCAGCAGCTGTGAGATCTAGCGAAGGATGGGCGCCACGGTGGCTTTGAGATGTTAACTACCTCGCCTGATGTACAGGAGGTCGTGGATTCGATCCCGACCCTGACGACTGTTGGATATTTGGAGTTTGTATGTTCTCTCTCCTCGTGGTCGCGTGGATTTTTCTCCAGGTCCTCCGGTTTTCCCCTCCACATTTATAATCAACATGCGTTTAGAGAGAATTTGGCTGCACTACATTTCCACGTAATAAGCCACTTCGTTGAGATATAATTCGTGTCCAGATCGCTTGTGAAAAAAAGCTATATAGCTCAGTGGCCCTTACCTAGTAAAATAAAACGTTTCGTTTATAGAGGCATTGTTGAGGTGTCAGAATCTGAATATTTAGTTTTTTTTTTAAATCGGAGAAATCCGATGAGCTATAAAGCTCTTTTTAACAGGGTGGTGGCTGCGCATGTGGCTGCCTGCTAACCCAGCACTGCGTGGAGACAGCAGCCATAGCTTGGTGGACCAGCGCACCACAGATGTCGCGAAACTCTCTCCCTTCCTGCGAGCGTCGTGGACGTTTCATACCCGGACTCTGCCATGATGAAAGGCAGCACAGCACATGCGTGGACTCCACCTGTTCCATTCGCAGGGGATAGAGTGTTGCCTCCTCGCACGCGCGGATTTTAAACACATTAATTGGGTGCAAACATCTTTATATATCGAGGACTGTAGTGCTTGGGAAATTGTTGGTAGCCGCGGCGGCGGCGGCGGCGCCTCGCACCGTCTTCCAGCTTTGCCTTCGGCGACTGGACATCGGTGAAAAAAGAGCTTCATAGCTCATCGGATTCCTCCAGAATAAATATTCTGATTGTCAGAGATGCAATTCGCACGAACCACAACGCCGCTGTAGGTTTAAAAAAAAAACCCCACAACGCTATCTTATGAGACCTCCTTTGCCAGAAACAAGATATAGGAATAGGTTTTACCCTTTTAACTACCCTTTTAACTGCATTTTGACTGCTTGTGTTGTGGTTATTGCAAACATGATGCCTTGAATAAAGGTGTCAGTTTTTGTGCCAGTTAAAAGGGTAAAACCTATTCCTATTTCCCACAACGCTATCGTTATTCTTTGGGTCTTTCGGTAAAGTCACGTAGATGGGTTCAAAGAAAATAACAAAAAGCTACGACGTTTCGATCGCAACACAAGCGGTCGTCATCAGGAGGATAGATGACGATCGCTTGTGTTGTGATCGAAACGTCGAAGCCTTTTTGTTATTTTCTTTGAACCTATCTACGTGACTTTACCGAAAGACCCAAAGAATATGAATTCCTGCAGTCACGAAAGCTGTAAGTCAATATTTAACGCTATCGTTACTCAAATCACCACCGGCTTTTGTCACGATGACAGATCGTCTCGGATTCTTGGCTCCTATCGCCACAGCTCGCGCGGCGGAATTTCTCACCGACGTCTCCGTATCCCTCGTAACCACGTGCAGCCAACAAACAACAACAACAACAACAAAAACCACCATCGCATTAATTACGAATGCCTTCGGGCCATACATCCCAAGTGTAGCCACACAGCAGCCCTCTTGACAAGCAGCCTTGAGACTCGGCGAGGAGTCGTTTGGGGGTAGGGGGATGGTGGTGGTGCCGGTCGTGTGTTTTTGTTGTTGTTGTAAATGTCTCGAACACTGGGGCACGAATGAATGCTCCACTGGGTGGCGAGCCACGTTCGGGCACGCTATGCCGCGGATTGCTCGCAAAGTGATAGAATCACGTCCGGGGGTGGGGGAGGGGGGGAAGGGGGATTTAAATTGGCGGTGCGGAAGCCGAAGGCCGGCGCTCGGGGGGTGTGGGGGCGAGCAAAACAAACAAAAAGAGGCGCGTGGTGGCGAATTTGCACGTGCAGCGCTCTCCCGGAGGACTTCGCCTGTTCCCGTGAGGGTTGCACGTCTGGGGGTGGCCGCGATCGTGACTCAACGTGTCCGGTTGAGTCTCCTTAGGACCAGAGGCCCCCCCCGACGGCAAGACAACTTTATAGTGCAGTTTCACTTCTTCTTGTCGTCATTATTGTTATTCTTGTTGTTATTGTTGTTATTGTTGTTATTGTTATTATTGTTATTCGTGGTCTTTCTTCTTCACCTCGTCGTGTCCCGTCCACCCAACGTCCGATTGTGCTTCCCAGCGGCGAGGAGGGCGCGGCGATCTGAGCCCTCGTGGCTGGTGGCGCGCTGCGAGACCCCTCGCTGGGGTGCCAGGCGGGGCGGGGAGGGCTGGGAGCGAGGGGGCGCCACGAGGCCCCCTAGCAGCAGTGGCTGCAGCTGTAGCGGCTCTCTGGTCTGACTGGCATGAGCTCGAGAATATATGGGGCTCGTGGGTGAGTGGGTGGGTGGGTGAGTGGGTGGGTGGGTGGGTTGGTGGGCGGGCGAGTGAGTGAGTGGGTGGATGAGTGCGTGAGCTGAGTGCATGCGTGAGTGGGTACGAGTGGGTGAGAGTGGGTGCGTGAGGATCAGGGTCGGCCTCCAGCAACAGCGGAGGGCAGAGGAGCGACGCTCACAACAACGAGCGGAGCGCCGGGCGGATAAAATCCAGCAAGTTGGCACAGTAGGGGGTACAGCTGGTGCATCTATTGGTAATCTCGGTCGGCCAACCCATGGCACCTGGGTCTGTCCCGAAACCTCCTGTCAGCGAGCCTTCCACACCTCACGTGGCCTCAAAATGCACCTAGCCTGGCACAGGCGCCGTGGTGACGACACCGTCACTTAATGGCGAATGGCGTGGTATTGGTGAGTGGGTGCGTGAGTGGGTGAGCGGTGCGTGAGTGGGTGGGTGAGTGAGTGGGTGCGTGAGTGGGTGGGTGAGTGGGTGGGTGAGTGAGTGGGTGCGTGAGTGGATGCGTGAGTGAGTGCGTGCGTGAGTGGGTGGGTGAGTGAGTGGGTGCCTGAGTGGGTGCGTGAGTGGGTGCGTGAGTGGGTGAGTGAGTGCGTGAGTGAGTGAGTGTGTGCGTGAGTGAGTGCGTGCGTGAGTGGGTGGGTGAGTGAGTGGGTGCGTGAGTGGGTAAGTGAGTGTGTGCGTGAGTGAGTGAGTGGGTGGGTGAGTGGGTGGGTGAGTGAGTGGGTGAGCGAGTGGGTGCCTGAGTGGGTGAGTGAGTGCGTGAGTGAGTGTGTGCGTGAGTGTGTGCGTGAGTGAGTGTGTGCGTGAGTGAGTGTGTGCGTGAGTGGGTGACTGAGTGAGTGAGAGCAATGGACAGACACAAGAGGAGCCGCGCCCCTGCCGTCGTATCTCCGCCGCAGCAGCAGCCGCAGCAGCCGCAGCAGCAGGCAGCTCTCTCTGGCTTCGCTCAGCTTTGGGGTCATCTCTCCCCGCGTGTCCCGCTGCCCCCCATCGCTTCCTTGAGCTCACCGCACACAGAGCGGTCGCGCTCCCACCCTCGGCTGCACGGAAACACTCAAACACGCCCACCTTAAAATAAATAAGTAATTGACGACGTTTCGGCCAACGGGCCTTCTTCATAGCACGTGCATTGCCCGAAACTTCGCCTGTTATATAAATATATTTATTTATTTTAAGACCACAATGTTATTTACAGACTTTGTTGAGTTTTGTTCTTGTTGTTATTGTTGGCCGTGCTTGTGCACCGATGCCAACGCAGCAGCAGCAGCAGCGGCATCGGCAAATCAAGGCGGTACAGGGGGATGTGGAGCTGAGTGGACTTTCCGATGACCGATACCAGCGGTGTCAAGATCGGCCTCTGTTGAGGAGGAGGCTCGTGAAGGACGCTGCTGCTACTGGGCAGTTGGAGGCAGTCGCCCTCCTTCAACAACGTAGGGCGGAGGAGCGACGCTCACAACAACGAGCGGAGCGCCGGGCGTCTAAAACGTAGCGAGGTGGCACCGTACGGGGTACAGCTGGTGCATCGGCCAGTCATCTTAGTCAACCCATGGGCACCTGGGTCTGTCCTGTGACCTGTCAGCAGCGAGCCTTCCACACTTCACGTTACTTCAAGGTGCACCTAGCCTGGTACGAGCGTCGTGGTGACGTCGTCACCGCCACTTAGTGGCGAACGTTGGTTGTTGTTGTTGAGCTAAAACCTAAACTTCCACTACATGTGCATGTTTAACGATCGGTGACACGTATACGCCGTAGCTGCCGCTGTGCTGTTCATGAATAATGCGTTATATTCAAAGCCGAATAAAAAATGATACACATTTGGACCACAGCAATGCACAGTGTTGTTTTTATTTGTTGATTCAGACTCTTCCCGTGTTCTAACAATCATCGCTACCCCTCCCCTCCCCAGCACCTACTGCTGTGAAAACGTGGCAAGACCCCCTTCTGTAAACGGGTCGCGAGACTCAGCCGAGGTCTTCCACGCTGTAACACGCAGCCGTTACTTGGGCTCTGTCCGAAGCACTTCAGAGGGTCTGTGAGACTCGGAGCCCAGCAGTCATCTGAGATCAAACCGAACAGAATGTGTGTGTGTGTGTGTTGCTGCGTCGGATTAAGCTGAGTGCGGGGCCTGTAGCATATGTTATACAGGGGCCATAAAAAACACACGCAAATATGAAAACACACATTTTTAACTTGCATAGTAAAATAATTGCATTTTTTTCATTTGCTATATAGCCAGATAATACGACAAATCGCGAACCTTAAACACCCAGTCGTTCATACAAGTTGAAGGCTGTATAGCACTATAGTAATAGAGCAAGTGCAGACTATCTGAACCGGAATTGATAGTTTGAAAGCATTTAGCGCGGGGCCCTTGAAAGTGCGGGGCCCGTAGCTACTACTACATGTGTAGTGTAGTAACATGTGTAGTAGTTCACTACATGTATAGCTACTTTTGCTACGGGGATAATCCGGCGCTGTTCCCGATCGCGAAAAACAACAGCCGCGAATGTCTGAACCGGTACTGGACCTGCCCTAG